GCTTGTAATTGGTACTTATAGAAGAACCATTTAGGCTTCCCCAAAGAAGATTTCAGTAAACAGTTAAAACCCTTTTGTCCAGTGGAAAGGTTTCATGGATGTTTCAGATTCTTCATGGAATCAAAGATTTTGTATTATTAAAAGTGTAATTATTTAAAAGAAACAAATATTTCATCTCAAAAAGCTGTACTAAAATACACAATACAATTGTGTTAATAATGCAATATAATATAATATTATTATTTTTTGTTTGTTTAGGTGGTGAAATGTGCAAATAGCTTAAGCGCTTAACAGTGCTGGGAAGGTAATAGGTTACAGATTACAAGTTACCCTATTCAGAATGTAATAAGTATCGTAAGTATTTCAATTACTTAAAGTAATGTAACTGATTACATTTGATTACTTTTTCAAAATCCTTCTTCACTTGAATTAAGATTACACTCTTAAAAATATAACATTCCAAAAGGGTGTTTTTGCAGTGATGCCATAGAAGAACCATTTTTGGTTCCCAAAACAATCTTTCAGTGGATAGTTCCTAAAAGAACCATTTTGAAGAACATTTTTTAGAAATCTAAAGAACCTTTTTCGACTATAAAGAACCTTCTCTGCATTTGAAAGGTTCCATGGATGTTCAAGGTTCTTCAAAGAGCCATTGATGACGAGAACATTTATTTTTCAGAGTGTATAATAATTGAATTTTAAAGTGCAACCACCACAAAATTTCACTTTAGCACCTCTTTTTTACTTTGACATCATTCTGAGGTTAAAATCATAACATGAAATAGTTTAATAGCTATGATACTATTTTTTAATCAAATCTTTGCATAGTTATGGCAGGAAACACTGCTAATAATGCATTGGAAAATATAAAAAAATAAAACAAACACAAATAGGAAATAAAAGAGTTATCGAATAAGCATGTGTCCTATTCTGTGTCCTAAACTCCTGAAACATTGGTGTCTCATATTTTAGAGCAGCCAATGCAATTTGGGAAAGAAATCAATCAAATCTGTACGTGTGTGAAAGAATATTTAGATGTAACCCCCTTTGTAATCATTAACATTTTCATAAGTAACTGAAATTTAATTTTTTCTCAGTAACTGTAACACATTACAGTTATGTATTTTGTAATTAAATTACGTAATGCCATTACATGTAACATATGCTGCGTTCAAGTCCTCCTGGGACGTTCGTACTTACGAGTTGACAAGTCGTAATTACGACGTCAGGTGCGTTCAAGTCAGTTTAGTCGGCACAAGATGGCGGTGTACCTTCTTTTAATAAATTACAAGAAAATACAACAGGGTCTGCATTTTTTTTACTTGGATTTCATTAACTAGCTGCGTAACAAGAACATGACCAATTTAAGCTTATAGGACAACAAAACTATCAATTTAAACAAAAATTTATCGTTAACTACAGACGTTGCATCCATCGATTCCGCCGTGTTTCTCATTGACATGCCCCCATCTCGGAAACTCGGGGCTTAAAGAAAATTTTTGAGTTTCCCCCTCATAATAACGACTTTGTGGTGGAGTTCATGTGCGTTCAACTCGTAAATACGATCTATCCGACATGACTTGAACGCACCATAATTACTCGCCAACACTGGCGCTTCATAGGCCATCTGATGGGGAGGTCTATTTGAAGGCCAATGTGGGGATGGGACACAATTTGTAGAGTCTTTCAAACAAAAGTGAGCAAAGAACTCATTACATATAGGTGCCTTACACAAAAACACAAAGTGTGCAAATGATAGTTACTTTAAGGAAGTAATTTTGTCATTTGTGATAGACACAATCTTCGTGATTCATTCTGAAACCTGAAGTGTGACTGGGATTTCATAAAAAAACCCTCAATTGCTCAATTTGTGTTTGAATATGCAGTGCACAAGTGGTACAAAAACTGATGTTAAGATCCAAAGAGGTAATATAGGTAAGAAGAGGTAATAATAGACATCAAGTTATTAGTAGCTGCCCACTAATTAAAAATAAATAAATAAATAAAAATCACTCTAGGAGCATTTTATAAGTCTAGGAGTATTTAGGTTGTAAAATATCTGGTTATGGCATGACAGATCACATATAGCTCTGTCTCTGCAACTTTAGCAGTTCTCCATTTGACACACTGGCATGTATTTCTCGAAAGCCTCCAGTCATGAAGTTATTAACAGGCTTGTCACTTACAAGATGGACAGTAATGTTCCATGACTTAATTATAGCCGATTGATTTTTGCCTAAATTTGCTCATAATTTGGTGCACATTAAACCAGCTCAAGGCTAATAGGCTGCTAATCAGTTCATGGCTACTTGATAATTTGCACCTATTAGGCTTGTACAAGTAGGAGTGTGGTAGCTGATGTGTATTTGGACCGCTGCTGTCCTCTAGTGGTCAGATAGGTCACTGCATTTTTGCATAGTGTCATGGCTGTGCCCCAGTTTGCATACTTTACTAAATGTTTGCTAAAAATGGAAGACAGTATGTAGGAAGACAGTATGCCAGTATTGGATATTCACACACTGTATTTAGATATTCCCATCACCTCCTCCATACACCAGACAAAAATGCTGGGTTAAACACAACCCATCGTCAAGTAAAATATGGACAAACCCAGAATTGGGTTGTTTTGACCCAGCATTTGGGTTACTACCCAAAAGGTTGGGTTAAACGTTTAACCCAACTGCTTGGTCAAAAGAACCCAATCGCTGGGTTTGTCCATATTTTACCCAGAGCTGGGTTGTATTTAACCCAGCATTTTTTTTAGAGTGTACATAGAACATTATTTACGCTTCCATGTAGGCAAAAATAATCTTAAAATTATCTAAAATTTTCATATTTATTTATTTAAATGTTTAGTAATTTATTCGTCATTTTCAATTTTTCATTTATTTAAATCGTTTTTCTAAAGTTTATTTTCTTTCAGTTTTAGTTCAATTATTAATTTTAGTAGGCCTACTTTAACTTACTTTAGTTAGTTGACAAGACAACATTTCAAAATGTTTATTTAGAGTAAGTTTTTCACATAATATTTATATTTTCCTTTTTTTCAGCTTTATATCAATTAATCTTGCATACTTGTGATGGATAGTATGCACATTTTTTACACTGAGATATTTGGTGTGTCCCTTTTGCATTTAACTCGCCATACATTTGTACTGAAAAACTGCAAAGTGTTGAAATCAAGAGCAGTATTATAATGACTCATAATAGATACAACATTTAGCATATTATGTCCTTGGTTTAAACTAAAACTAAAACACTTGTGGTATGAGAATATAAAAAATATTAAATGTACAATCTATAAGAATGTGATTTGTGTGTCTATGTCTTTAAAATTCCAACTTGAGGGCCCTTTTGCTATTATATGTTACAGTAAAAAAAATTACAGACTCAACAGAAACTAGCAACACCCTTTTAAACTTCTCTTTTTCTTTCTCAGTATCACAAACACACACCCTAACACACAGCTCACGTTCATGCAGGAAGTAAGCTTAAGCCAGATCGCAGGAGAGGAAGTGAGATGCAACACATTTATGAACAACACTTGCTGCTTTCGCAAATATATCTGGTCTGCTATTATATGTGTGAAGATGAAGAGAAGTCCTCCAAACAATGCAGGTTCTGACTTCATCATACTTAATGCTTTATGCATGCATTAATGTGCATCTTTTAGCGACAACTCACAGAGAAATTTCATTTTTATATATGTATTTAAAACATTTCTAGAAATATACAGTGGAGTCCATTGAAACTATGGGATTTAAATAAATATATAAAGTTGTGACATAATGAAGAAGAAAGGCCACTTACATTATATATTGTTTCATATTTTAATTACAGACTGTTTATTTTTGCCTAATTTTGCTCATAATTTGGTGCGCTTTAAACTCAACTCAAGGCCAATAAATAAGCAAATAAATAAAAATGTTATGACATAATGAAGAAGAAATGTCACTAACATTATGTATTGTTTCATAACTTAAATACAAATGGTTTATTTTTGCCTAATTTATGCTCATAATTTGGTGCATATTAAACTCGACTCAAGGCTAATAAATAAATAAAGTTACGATGTAATGAAGAAATATTTAAATAATAAAATTCAACATTATTTCTAGTCACTAATCCTCATTTACTTTGTTGTGCCTTTGTACAAAAGGTCAGAGGTCAAGTTTTTTTTTTTATGAAGTGGTAGGTACAAGCTACATAAACAAAATGCTTTATAATAAGATAATATAAATAACATCTTATATAAAGTAAAAAGATACATTTATATTAAGTATTATATATTATTATTAGTGCTGTCAAACTATTAATCGCGATTAATCGCATCCAAAATAAAAGTTTTTGTTTACATAATATATCTGTGTGTACTGTGCACATTTATTATGTATATATAAATACAAACACATACACCATATATTTCGCAAATATATTTATATTCATATAATTTATATTATATATAAATATATTTAAAATATAAACATAACATATTTTTCTTAAATATGTACTGTATGTGTGTGTATTTATATATAAATAATAAATATACACAGTACACACATAATATGTAAACAAAAACTTTTATTTTGGATGCGATTAATCGCGATTAATCGTTTGACAGCACTAATTATTATTATAGTACAGGTGCATCTCAATAAATTAGAATGGAAAATTTCCACGACATTCTAATTTATTGAGATGCACCTGTACATGGTGATGCACATTTTCTTGGACGTCATATTATTCAGTCTTAGAATGACACTGAATGCAGATCCCGAGATACACTGGAGTCACGTCACCTTTGACAGAGTGACCCAAGAAGCTCTCCTGCATGTCAACATCGAGTGCTATTGAGTAAATATGGCATTACTGCGAAGTACAGATCACATGTATCCGCCCAGCAACCACAGGAAGTCCTTTTGCTGCTGCTGCTTACAGAGCATCAGCCCTGTGCAGCGGAAGTCTACACACACACACACACACACACACAGCTACAAGAGCCAGAAGTGAGGACTTGTGGCTCCCCGTCCCGGAAAAGACACAAGAGGACACAGGAGTCAGAGACCATGATCAAACGCAAACTGAGTGAGTATATTTGATTGAGGGCTTCCGCCATAGTGTGGTGCAATCATTCAGACCGGTATCACTTTGCCATGAGGTTTCTTATTGTGGTTAAAGTCTCTGGTCAGTTAAGCAAGACTATTAAAGATCAAAATGCCTTAAATAACGCCCCACTGTCCTTGTCGAAGCTATCAGGGTGTTATAAAGGAGCAAGACTGTTGACATTATTGATTTCTATAATGGCCTTAAAGGCTAACGTTCCTCTCTGATGAAGGTGAGTGTATTTGAAGGCAGCAGTGCATAGACGCAAATACGTTTTTAAGAGGCTTTTTGTTGTGTTGCTCCACATGCCTTGAGGTAAAACCAAAGCCGTTCTGAGGACAGTGATGGGATATGGGAATACCGTAATGGCATTTGGGGATTCAGCTGCACAAAGCAAATGAATGTACTTCAGACTAGATCAATACAAGCCGAATTGAACATCGACCAAGAGGGGAAAAAAACTCATGTTGAAAATAAAAGTTGTTTATATTAGATAAGTTTGAGTATTATAAGGTCAAATAAGGGCAAAGTATATGGGATACATATGGATAAACTGCAACTGAGAGAAGTAATGCAATATCGTGTAATGCATGAGCAAATGCACATAAAAGCAGTCATGAAAAAACACACAAAGCTAAAGTATAAATCCTAAACTATATTTAAAAAAAATATTTTAATAACTTATTGATGTTCACACACACACACGCACACATGCACGCATCTACCCCCCC